GGGCGCAGGGCACTCTGCGCGACACAGGGGCAAGAGTGCGGCGGGACCGGGGACGAACCGGGCGCGCCCGCGCCGCCGGCCGCCTCCGCGGGCCCGCCGGAGGACTCGCCCGAGGCGGCATCGAAGCTGCTCGGGGAGGGCGAGAGTGAAGGGGGCCCTGGGACACACAAATAAATACACACGAATAAAAGGATTCCCCATATTTTCCCATATTTTCTGGGTTCTTGTCTTCCCCCCCCCCTTCTTTCCCGTTCTTGCACCGATCGCTGACCTTCGACAGGGAGGGGCAAGTTTCTGGACCGAGCGAGCATGATCCGCCACCTTGCCGCGAGGCGCTGAATGGAGTCCCTTCGAGCCCTCTGGATTCGGGATAGACAGCACTTGTGAAGAGCCCCAGACCCCAGAATCCGGGAAGTTCTGGACGGCCTCGCGCGCTCCTTGGGCTTGTCGCATGGCTGTCCTGGAATCCTCGAGCGCGGGTGGGGGTCCTGTACTTCCCACGTGATCTTAGATGGCCCTGAACCTTCTGGGGGGCTCTCTTGGGGGCCGTTTGTGCCATCTTAGAGGGCGGCCTCGGAGACCAACATCCTCGAAAACGACAACATCGGGTATATGTCTGATCATCGCATACACGCGCCCTCTCGGTCTGGAGAGCGCCCAAGACGGCCAGAGACGTTCTCAAGAGCGCCTCCGAGGCCCCCAAAAGAGCCCCAAGAGGGCCGCCGAGGGGTTCCCAAGTGCGGCCCAAGAGGGGGAACTCGAAACGGCTTTGGGAGTTGGGACCCTCCGCCCGAAGAATGGCCCCCAGACCGCATCCAGGCCCCCAAGAGGCCCGCAAGATGGCAGGTCCCCACGAGGCCCTCAGGAGGCCCAAAAGAGGCTTGCAAATGGCCCTAAACAGGACCCCTGGAGGACTGCCTAGAGACCCCAAGAGGCCACTTCTAAGAAGACTCTCTCCCACGACCCAGCCATGGTGGCGGGATGGGCCGAAGGTCACTAGGATCCGTCGCCACCTGTTGCTTGCAAGAGGGGTTGTGGCGTGCCGAATGTTAACCGTTTGTAATCCCACCAGCCCTCTGGGCGTAGGTGGTCTAGAGCAGATCCTCTTCCACCCCTCCCTCTTCCCCCTTGGGGAGGGGTTTACCCCTCCCCCTCCCCCCTCCCCTGGACCTGGACGGGGGGGGCCGCGGGTAGTTAGAGCGTCCCAGATGGCCCAAGACGGCTCCAAGAGCGCCTCAGAGAACCCAAGATGAGCTCCAAGATGGCTCAAGATAGCGAAAGATCGCTCGAGATGGCTCCTAAGATGGTTCCAAGAAGCCCAAAGACGGCCCCAAGATAACTCCAAGTGGCCAAACAGCTCCCCAAGGAGGCCCCGAAGAGGCCAAAATTGTCCCAAAACCTAAGGAAAATCAATGATTTTTGCTTTCTCGCCTTTTCGCTTCCGATGGCCATCCGAGGCCTGGAGATGGCTCCAAGATGGCCCAAGAGGGCCCCAAGAGAGCCCCAAAATAGCCCCAAGACGGCCCCAAGAGCGCCCAAGAGCACTCCAAGAGCGTTCCAAGAGGGGTCCAAGAGGCGATTTTAGGGGCTTCCGAGGGGGGACGCTAATTCACCCCCCCCTCTTGTTTGATCGATCTCCTCCAAGATGGCCCCAAGAAGCGCCCAGGAAGCCCCAAGAGGTCCCAAGATGGCCCCAAATTGGCCCCAAGAGGCCCCCAAGAGGCCCCCCGGAGGCCCCCAAGAGACCCCCAAGAGGCCCCAAGAGCCCCCCCAGATGCACCCAAGATGCTCCAAGAGGCCTCGGCGAGAATGCCTAATCATTGATTCTACACAGGTTTAGCCACATGGAGGCCTCTTGGGGGGGGGCACGGATTAAGATGACTCCAAGAGCGTCTGGGAGAGCCCAAAATGACCTCCAAGATGGCTCAAGATATCCCAAGATGTCTCATAATGGCTTCCTCTGTGTGCTGCCCACTTCTCAGATCGAGGCAATTCCTCTGGGCATCGTTTCTGGATGGGCTGGTGGGGATTCGCGAAGCGACAACAATTTTACAACAAGGCCAAGATTGGCCCAGAAGTACAATTATAATTCCATCAGAGGCCCAGTCGATTTTTCAACAAAGCAAGACAGCCCGAGATAGCCCCCAGACGGCACCCTCCCATAAACCCCGCTCCTTTCCTACCCTCATCCTAATCATCCTTTCCTCCTCCTCCTCATCATCCTCCTCCCTCATCTCTCATATACATACCCTCCTTCCATACTAATCATACTACTAATATCCTCCTCCTTGCTTATACTCATATCCTCCTCCCGCTCCTCCTTATTCTCTCTCCTCAACGTGCGCCCCCCCACCACCCTCCCCCCACCCCCTCCCGATCCTCCTCCCCCTCCTCCTCCTCCTCCTCCTCCTCCGACTCCTCCTTCTCCTCCTCATCCTCCTCCTCATCTTCCTTCTCATCATCCTCCTCACGTCACGTACCTCCGAAGCCGAGCGCTGGACCTCCTCATCGGCATCCTCTCCTCCTCCTCCTCGCCATCATAAGCACCATCACCATCATCATCACCACCATCGCAACAAAAACAACAACAACAACAACAACAACAACAATCATTTTACCCGAACGCTCAGTGTTCTCACCAGTGCCAGGGTTTTCATGCGACGCGAGACAATACCCCCACTTCGTGGGGGGGCAGTTCAAGCTCTACCAAATATCAAAACGACTCTTCGCGACCACCCAAACCCAGCTTCCCGCCCTATGACGTTGGGACACTTCACTTCGTGGCGTGCGGACGACCGTGGCTACTACACTGGCGTGGGGTACACACCCACAGAACTTGGTCACTTATTCGGGGCGCGCGTGTGCCCAGCATCCTGCAATTGTGACATAGAATACATGACACAGACAGACAGAGAGAGAGACAGAGAGCAGACAGAGAGAGAGACAGAGAGAGCGGAGTTGGTCACAGTTTTGGGGCAAGTTCCTGAGATCGTCGTGTTTTTTGTTGGTCTTGCGCGCGCGAATGTCCACTTTACTTTTTTTTGCAAGGGAGTATTGAAATTTGATTATGTAAGAACAAGAAAAAGTAGCTCGCGCGAGCTCATGTAACATAAATGTTGAAAAACCATTGGTTTTGTGGGAGTCGGACAGCGCGCGCGGGATGAAATTTGGACATTTTTTTTGAAAAACCATTGGGTTTTTGTTGTTTTTATGTTGAAATCGTTACGAAACCTAAGGTTCTGGAAGGATTTCGTCTTGCGCGCGCGAATGTCCACTTTACCTTATTTTTTGCAGGGATTATTGAAATTTATTATGTTTATCGGTTTTTATCGCCTTTTAGAAAGATCTAGATTTTACCTCGTATCTTAGAACAGAAAACGTAGCTCGCGCGAGCCCATGTACATAAATGTGAAAAAAACCATTGGTTTTGTGGATTCGGACAGCGCGTGCGGAAGGACATTTGACAATTTTTTCTTAAAAAAACCATTGGTTTTTTGATGTTTGTAGGTTAAAATCCCCCCCCCCCCCCCGCTACGAAAACTAAGGTTTTGGAAGGATTTCGTCTTGCGCGCGCGAATGTCCACTTTACCTTATTTTTTGCAAGGGATGCTTGAAGTTTGGCTATGTTAGAACAAGAAATGTCCACTTTAGCTTATTTTTGGCAAGGAAAAACCGATCGTAACAACACAACCGGATCCGGACTCCCCCGTTTTGCCTGAGATTTCCTCACGAAAATGATGAAAATGAGGCTGCGGCCTAGGCGCGGCGGGGGGTGTCGTGCACCAGGGGCCCCAACAATAATTATTCTTAAGAAGAAATAATGTTCAACAACAACAACAAGGTACAGGCCGGCATGGTCCCCCCGGGGTCCGGGGCTTCACTTCCCGCGTCCGCCACAGTGGAGGAGGCCGGTCCCGCCCCCCCGGTGAGTCGGAGGGGGGGGGGGGGGAACACAACACAACACAACGAATTCTGTACGAATTCTGTACGAATTCTGTATGAATTCTGTATGAATCTTGTATGAAGGATCTGATTGGAATTGAATCTGTATATATTATATTATTTAAAAAATGAATCCTAAACAATCTTCCTTACGGATTCCCCATCGGAATCCGTATCGGAGACCCTCTAGGAGTCTTTGGATCCCTCCAGGGACTCTATAGACTCCCTCCAGGGACTCTATAGAATCCCTGTGGATCCCTCCAGGGACTCTATGGAATCCCTGTGGATCCCTCCAGGGACTCTATAGACTCCCTCCAGAGTCTCTATAGAATCCCTGTGGATTCCCTCCAAATGTCTCTATAGACTCCCTGTGGATCCCTCCAGGGACTCTATGAATCCTTGTGGATACCTCCCAAGGGGACTCTATAGACTCCTCCGGGAGCTCTATAGTAATACACAGGGATCCCTCCAGGGACTCCATAGAATCCCTGTGGATCCCTCCAGGGACTCTATAGACTCCCTCCAGGG